CAATTAACTATCATTAATAAAAAAAAGAATTTCTTTTTTATATCTTACCGACAAAAAAAGAAAAAATAAGGTGCTCGAGTAAGTGTTGCAAATACACAAAGAACATCATCAACAATAATTGAACAAGTAAAACGAGCTGGTAACATTGCTAATGTTAATAAACAAGAAAAAAGAAATAATACTCTTGTTGGATCATTAACATATATAAATGAATCTAATTTAAAATTTTGATAAGAAAATTCTTGTATTGTAAACATTATATAGATAAATGCACCAATAACACTTAAACCATCAAAAATATTTAGAAGCTACAAAACAAAAAAAAACAACAACTATTTCTTGCTTTTTCATTTTTCTTACTAAAACCATTGGTTTAAATCTTAGTTTTTTATTTTCATCATTATCATCATAATTTATTCGTAAACTAATATTCATTATAGTTTGATTTTCATCATCAATATATGGTTTATACCATAGAAAATTTATATAATGACATTTACATTCAATTCGATTAGCTATTATTGATTTAACTGTATTTTCATCTTTATCAATTATTTCTTTTATAATACATGTTGATGGTACACGATAATAACCACGAATAATTAATCCAAATAAACATATACCAAAATAAAAACTAAACATAGCCATACGTTGAAAGAATCTATAGGAGAATAGATTAATTTTTTTTAAAGAAAAAAGAAAACGAATTTACTTGAATTTAATAAATGTACGCCATTTTTCATTTAATAATTGTACAATCAAACCATCCGTCATATCTAAATGACCAGCAGATTCCTATAAAAAAAAAGGATTTTAAATAGACTTAATTGTATTATAAAATGTTTATATATGAAGTAATTCTCTCCTGAAGATTTTATACATTCTATAGAATTTATCAAAATGTTGTTTTTACCTTTTGCGAACTATTCCCCTCCCCCCTCAAAAAAATATATATATTGACTGATGTAAAATTATTTCTAAATATTTAAAACTTACTCCACGAACAATAATATTCAATGCACTTGTATCATTTAAAGAACCATCTTTTCCAATTGTATCAATATCATCTAATGGATAACCAGCACATGTTACATTTCCATATTGCCAATAGATTATACGAGTTTTTTGTAAAATATGATCAAATATCTAATTGAATTTTTAATATTTGTTTATTTGTCTGACTTTTTTTTTGATAAAAAAAAACAACCTAATATTTTCTTACTTCTTTATGTGCTTTAACAGCTGCAAGTGTTAAAGGTGTTAAACATTGTCGATTTTTTATATCTAAAGATCCACCTAATTCATAAAGTAAATCTACCATACTCTATTCAACAAAAAATAAAAAAGAAAATAATTAATTAAATTTCTTCTTAAAATCAATAGGATCAACATTTCTCTATGTTTGAACGAGCATGTTGAATTATCCACTTAGCTATTTTTTATAATGAAAATCTCATAATACCGAACTCAAAGTTTCATATGATCACAATGTTCATGATCCAAAATTGATTTTAAGAGAGAGAGCGGAGTTTTAATAAAAAATAAAAGCTTACTATCCGATTATAAATAACACACATATGTAAAGCAGTATTTCCATTTGAATCTTGACAATTTGTATTAGCACCTTTAGCAACTAATAATCTTACTGATTCTTCTTGTTGTAAAACAGCCGCAAATGATAGTGGATATTCACCAAAATAACAATAACCTCCATAATTTGTTGCAACACTTACATCAGGACATTCTTTTGTTACATTATCCACTCTAATACAAAAAAAAAAAAAAAAAGTTTGAAAAAACATCACCATTTGTATCTTTACCGGCTTGATTTTTGATCTTCTGGACAAAAAAATTTTCCACAACATCTTTGTGTAAAATCAACACCAGCATCAAGTAAGAATTTAACTGTTGCTGGTTCTTCATTGACAATTGCAATATGAAGAACATTTTCACCTGAAAATTTTCGAAAAAATAAAAAAAAAAACTTCAATAATCAATTGAATAACTAACCATAATATTCATCACCCATATATAAATCATCAATTAATCTTGGATAATATTTTAGAAGTCGTTTTGCTAAACCTGAATGAACAGGACTTGATGAAAGAAAACAAATATGAAGTATATGTTCACCAACACCACCACGTAAATCAAGATCCCAACAAACACGTTTTGTTTCTTCATCTAAATTTTTTTAGAAAAGAAATTTTTTTTTTTTCATTTTGATTTTATATGATTAATAAATATAACTATTTATTTGTTCGTCATCAAATGTTTTAGCAGTTGGAACAATACTTTTTAATTTAGTATATGTATTATTTCGTCGTTTAACAATTTCACTTATTGTAACCTATAAAACAAATTAAAATAAAAGTTTCTCTGTCTTTTTTTTCTTTTTAAATCTTTTACCAATTTTCCTTCACCATTATTATAAAGAAATCTTGGAATATGTTCACGAATAAGTGCATCAATTTGTGTATAATCTTTTGTTCGATTAGCTACACGCATAACATCAATAAATTCACCACCTCCCTACAAATATTTCTTTTTGTCACAAAAAAATTATCGAGAAATTTAATTTACTTTAAGATCAACAAATCGATAAAGTTCAGGACCGTGACCACCTGTATTTATCTGAGCTTTAACACCCGATGCTACTTCTGATGTTGTATTACCCATTATTGTCAACTAAATACTATTAACAATAAAAAAGAACAAGAATAGACTGATGTCGATCGTGATTGAGCCGGAATATTCAATTGAATGTTTACCGGTGTTGACGGAAATGAAGAGAAAAAAAAAGAAGAAGCAGCAAAGAGTGAGAAAAAAAAATGGTTGAAAAATCATTGCATACTTACCGGTAATTGGAGTAAGTGTTGTATTGTGTTAGAATAAGAGACGGAGACGTGTGAAAGTTGAACAAAAAAAAAAAAAAAAAAGAGGAAAAGTTTTTACTTGTCACCTAAAGGAGTTAAAAGAGAAAAAACGACGATCGATTAGAATAACGCATTAAAGGTTAATAACAATGTCTTGTTCTTGTTTTCTTTTCAGAAAATAAGTTCACTTTTGAAATATAACAGTAGGAAAAAAAAAGGAGATTTATTTATCGATTAAATCAATAAAAGAGAAACAAGCTAATTTTTCTTTTACCTTTATTCTTCTTCTACATTATCAATAGTTCATAGCTTTTCAAGGTTTTGATAAAGAGACATCAAGCGAACCTAAATAAGAGATGTTTATGATCAATAAATACTCTTCGACGTAGTATTGACGTGTTTTTTTTTGTATATAGAATGACCCTTTTTTTTTGAACTTGTTCTCTTAATCTATCATTGTAATTTCCGTTTAATAAAATCATTCCATGGGTTATTGAGTTAAATATATTTCTAAAACATCGTTCGATTTGCAATGCTGACAAACAAAAAAACTCATTTCATATGATCAATGACATCAAACAACTTTTTTAAACAAAAAACATAATCTATAGAAAAAGAAGGTTGAAAATAACAATAGCAGTTGTCTTTAGAATCAATTGGATTTAAGAAATATTTAATTCAAAACTCGAATCATATTCCTATTTTCAAATCATAATTGTCTATTACTTTTAGAGTATGACAAATTACAGACTATATTTAAAAAAGCTAAAGATCATGATCTTTTATTCCAAACTAGATTTTTTTTTCTAACTTTTACTAAGAAAATCAAGAGAACTTTGAAAAATTTTCTAATATTCAAATAGATGTTTTTAACAACTAGCAATAGAAATGTTTGTATTGTAAGTGAAAAAAGACTAGACATATTCAGGTCAAAATAAAATTTTCACTGTCAGACTAACAAGTTTAAAATATTAGCTGCTATTGATATGTGCCAACCGAGTTATTCAAATTTTAAGGTAAATTACAGTCTATGTATGATGATCATCATTAAAAATTTCAGCAGAATTTTTCCTTTTTTTTTTTCTTGATCGTTAGATAGAACTCATTGAGTTACATTAGAAAATATATGTTTCATATTTTAAAAATAAGGTTACGAAGGTCAGAATTTTTGTTCTATTTCCTCCTTCATATTTGTAAATAATAGTAATTTAGACTTCTATCCTATAAGATTTTTTAAAATATGAAACATATAATTATTTTCTAATGTAACTCAATGAGCTCTATTCAACAATCAACAAAAACGATAGAAAAATTCTGCTGAAAATTTTTAATGATAGCCGTCATATATAGACTGTAATTACCTTAAAATTTGAATATCCCAGTTGGCACACATCAATAGCAGTTAATATTTTAAACTTGTTAGTTTGGCAGTGAGAACTTTATTTTGACTCGCATATGTCTAATCTTTTTCACTTACAATACAAACACTTCCATTGTAAGTAGCAGAAAACCAAACTTTTTTTTTTGCTACGAGAAACATAAAGATATTTTAATTTAAAAAATGGTACTTACTAAAAAACTGAGTTTTTAGGTGCAAAAATAAAAAAACAAAGACTCGCTGTATTTTCGAAAACCTCATAATCTTTTATTACGCCTTGTGCGTGACCTTTCATTTCGGAGAAGTTAAGATGTTCGGTGTTCATTAACAATAAATCCGATAGAACTGAAATAACATTCAATATCTCTATTGAACAGACAGAAATACGATATCTATTGAGAATTTTGTATTTAATTCAAGAGTTGGTTCATAAGCCAAAACTCTTAGTTCGTGGATATCTATTGCCAAATCGAATCAATTCAATAAAATGACCATAACTCTTCAACAGTGAACTATGAACTCGAATTCTTGTAAGCTTTTCTTAGTCTCACCAAGCTCTGCTCGTAGCCTTAATACAAAGTCGAATGGTGTTCAACACTTGAATATATCTTCTTAAGTTGATAGATAAATTAAGCAAGACACAAAAAAATAGAATCTGATTTTTCTTTTATTTTTAGAAATTCAAAAAATAAAAATACTGACAACAAATATTTTACAATAAAAATTAATATTAGGATGTTTGATTATTAAATGTTAGTTTGACTGGAATATTTATACTAAAAGCAAAGCAAAAATGAAAAAGTTTATAAAAAAGCAAATAAACCAACCATTTGATCTTGTAATAATTTAATTGTTTGTTTATCTTGTTCTCTTTCTTTACGTAATATTGTAACTTCCTTAAAAACAAAAAGATATTTTTTGTTTTTTGTTTCTTTTTATACAAAAATATAAATATTAATTTTCTTACTTTAACTAAATCATCATAAGAAGAATTTTCATCAATTATATTTCGAACATTACCTTCACCACCACTTATTGAATAATGTCTTGGACCGATCATAGATTCATGAAATGAACCAATCATTGAATCCTAGAATAAAAAAAATTTCTTTAATTTTTTAATTGAGAACAAAAGAAAAAATACTCACAGTCATATTAGTACCATCTGAATGTTTCAATAATCGATCAAGTTGATGAAGAATTGTTTTAACAACCGTAACATCTTTCATTACTTGTCGATAAGATTCAATATCCATTATTATTTGTTCAGCATCCTCACGTGGTGGTAATGGAGTTGGTGGCTTTAATGTTAATGAGCGTGTTAATAATCTTCTACAATATCCAAAAAAAAAAAAAATTACACAAACTTATGTCAGGATTAAACTAGAAGATATTCAATTACATATTAAACAAATCGAGAATGACATCTCATAACGATTTAGAGTACTCAAATTGTAGAATGAAAGAACAATGAGATATTGTTTGCATATACAAAAATGAATAGAATTGAATAACTCATCAGAGATCATTTTTCAACAAGAAAATTTTCTTATGTAAGTCTTATAAGCAATCTAAATTTTACAAGTAAAATGAACACTTCTTTTTTCATTTTGATTGTGATGTTTAGATTGCTATATGGTTCATAAGATCTGTATTTAGAGAAATTTGCAGATCGAAATTCTCTACTTTGACTATTCGGTAAATCACTTATTCTAGTCTCACTGGATCGTACTTAAGGGAAAAACATCAATTCAACAGCTCTAAATCACTTGAGATAGTTTCCTCGTAGGAAATGTTGTTTTCATCTTATTTTAATTTTTATCTGAATACCTTTGAGTTTGATATTGATATTAGAAAGAACATTTATTTATCTTACCGATTATGTTCACTATCAATAATATTGTCCATTCGATTACTCAATTCAGTTAATTCATCAAGTGATTCTCTAAGATTAGCATTTATTTTATCAGTTGTTGAACATTTCACTATAGATGAAGAACGATTTTCTTTTGATACAGTTTGAAATAATGGAATATTTGGTTTTATTATCGTAGTTGCTGTTATCATTATAGGTGTTTTACTTGTTTCAATAGATAATGATGTAGATGATAATGAATCTGTTTGATCACTTAAAATAGAATAATATTATTTAAATTGATTTATTGAAAAATTTCTTTTTTTTTTTTGTTAAATATATTTTTATCTTACTTTTTACTAACAGATTCAAGTGTTAATGTATCATCATAATCACATATTAAATCATCTGATTTTAGACTACAATTATCATCATCAAGAAATGAATCATTATTTAATATGTCAGATACATGTGTAGATGATGATGATGTACTAGGACGATGTTGTCGTTGTCGATTAATTTGAGAATGTTGTGTAGATGATAAACGATTTAAAGGTAATATTATACTTGCATAAGCAGAATCACCATGTGAAGAAGATATTTGATGAGATGATTCTGTTTTTAAATCATCATTCTATTTTAATAAAAAAAAGGAAAAAAAAATATATATATATTGAGTATTTCTTTTTTTTTGGCTATTGACAGAAAATATAGATAATTTTATTTTTACTTGATTATTATTTGGAATATTTGTTATATGTTCATCAGTTGATGATGATGATAGTTCATTTTTTTCTTCTTTAATTACTGATGGAGATTTAAGTGAATTTGGTATTGAACTATGTCGAGTATAAAAATTCATACGTTTTTGAGTTTTATATCGATCACGAATAACATTAACATTTGGTTTTGTAGATTGAATATGAGGAGGACTAATAGATACAGATGAATTTGAAACTTGTGAAGGTATATTTGAATGAAAACGATTAGTTATTGTTAATTTTGATGAATCTTTATTATTATTATTATTATTATTGTGAGAAGAAGGAACTGTTTTAGATTTTAATACATGATTAGTATTCGAAGAAGAAGTAATAGATCGATTTGATATTGGTTTTGGTATTGTTTGAGTTTTTGTTAAACGTTGAGAACTAGTTGTCGATGAAGAATTAGCACTAATCGATGATGATGATGATGGACTAATTGAACGACTACGAACTACACATGATGATGATGATGTTTGTGTTTGTTGTAAACCGGGTGCTGTTGGTCGAGGTATAAAACCAAAACGAGGGTGTGTGCTATTTTGTATAGATGATGCATGTGGTGCACGATTTGTTGTTGACATTGATTGAGAGAAACCTTCAAAAAAAAAATTAACAGAATAATAATTATACAAACAATTGTTGAACAATAAATGTTAGAATAAAATTCATTAACAAGAAGAAAAAAAAGTTAAAGAAAATGTCGCTTGATCAACGTTAACCTTCATGTGCATTCTTGTTTTTTTTTTACTAATGTCATCGTTCTTCGATGAAGACGTCTAGCAATAAAAAAAGAATGGAAGAAGGAACCAACAGAAAAAAAAACCAGCATGGAAGAAGACAAAAGGAAAGAGAAAAAAAAATGTTATTCGTGGCTGCTGTCGATGACAAAATGCAAAATTAATTTTTTTTTCTATATATGAGTCATACATTTATTCCAACAAGAATTGAAGTAAAAAATAATGCATTACCTGTCCCATTAGGAGTACCAAATGTAGTAGTTACATTAGTAAATGGTACAGAATTTATTAATGATGATTGTAATTGATGAATAGGTAATCGAGTTGTTGATACTGGAATACGTGTTGGAATATGTGATGTAAAAGATGATGATGATATCCAACTATTTCTATTAGAATTATTATTATTATTCATATTAGGTGAATATAATTGTATTAAACTGTTTGTATTAAGTGAATGATGATAAGTTGATTCTTGTAAAGAAGGTGATTGAATATCAAAATTAGATAATAAAGAATGAGGACGTTGAGATTGTTGATTGGGATATTGAGGCAATAATAATGATGAATTTTCTTTATTGTCAAGAGCAATTGAATTTTTTAATGCAATTCGTTTATGCAATTGTTGTTGATCTTTTTGTCGATGTTTTGTGGTTGATGTGCAAGAACCCATCATCAACCTATATTATAGAATAAGAAGAAATGAAAGAGAGAAAAAAAAAGCTTGACTAACAGTTGTTATACTAATTTATACAGTATCTTCTTTTTTACTTATGTTTTTTCTCAATTCAAACGATTTTATTCGATGCTTTTAAGTTCGAATTTTGATTTATTTGACTGTTATTCAGACTTGGTACATACTCAATAATCGCTTGAAGGTTTAATAAGAAAAGAAAATACAAAATGCATATCTAGGCTTGTATACATATATATATATATATATATATGTAGGAAGCAAGAGAATATTGCTTGAGAAGAGAAAATGAAATATAGTTAATTCAATTCCCTCATCGCTTAGCCTCATATAATTGAAAATCGTTTATGTCAACAATAAGAATTACTTTTATGATACATCACATTTCAAGTGAAATACAGCAAACGCTGTCATGATAGATATGTAATGCACAATATTCGTTTAATACAAAAAAAAATAAAGAATAACTTGAAAATATATAGGAGAAAAAAACAATAGCTGTCAGCAATTCAATACCTTGAATTTTACAATGTTATACATGTCGTTGTTGTTTATCTTTATAAAGAAAGTATCTAACAAAGACAAATAGAAAATTTTTGTGATACATAAATAATATAAAAAACGCATTGGGTATGCATCATCATCATCATATCATTGAAGAAAGAAACTAGCAAAAGAAAGTGCGATGCATAGAAGAGGTATATTCGATTCGTTGGGAGCGACAAACAAAACACAACGATACTGTGTCCTTAATATTTTTTCTTCTTTTTTTTTTTGTTTCTAAATACTATAAAAGAAAGCTAAAGAAAAAAAGTATCACAAAACTAAGAAGATACTAAAGAACGATGTTATCACTATGTCACACGATAAACAAAAGAAAAAGAGACAACAAAAAATATAAGTATATAATTAGACTCAATAAAAACAGTTCTCCTTATTTGACATCATCAATAATTAACGATTGATATCTTATATGAATTGTTCGGTTATTATAACCTTAAGAAAAAAAAAATATATATTGCCTTGTACACGATGATAGACAAATAGTTCCCTGTCAAGAAGAAAAAGCTTTCGTCTAGATGCATTGCACCAACTGATTTTTTTTTTTTCATAGATCTAAATATAAGTAACCTTGCATTTTTATTCAAACGAACCATGAAATAAGATTTTAAATATGTGTATTGACAAAAAGAAAAAAGTCAAGGAAGATTCGATTAGATCAAAATAATACAATAGACTTACCTGTATAATTTTTTTAATATAAAAATGTGTAATTAAGAGTTGATTAAATTATTCAAACTCTATCGTCTATACGTTTAATAATAATAAAAAAAAACGAAAAATCGAACGTTGTCCATATTAAATGAAACGATACTAAGATCAATGCACGAGTTGTGTCAGATGATACGAATGTGTTGAGATGTCTGTCTTGTTTGCATTGTTGTTCACATATGAAAATCAACTCGTAATGCAATATTCAATTTGAATAGAGTACTACGAATAAATCGAAATGGTAATGCATGAAACCAGAAAAGAAAATGATGGGATATTGATTGTAATAAGAATGCGGCTATTGTCAAAATGATATTTTAGTGCAAGCATCTATACAATGAATGAGGGCTCGAGTGAATATGAATGTATGTGTATATACACATATACAAAGAAATCGGACCAACAAAGTATAAGATATAGTGACGAAAAGGAGAAGAAAAGAAAATAATGGAGTGTTTTGATGATATATATGTGAGAGTAATTAAAGACGAAAATGGCAAAAAAGTGAGTGTGAAGTGATGGACAAAGGTCGTATATAAAGACACGCACATATAAAATGAGTCAATCAAGAGTTTATCTGATGTCTACATGAATGATGTCTATAAAGGCTTTTATTTGGCGATGATCAAAAGAAAAACAACAAAATACAAAGAGACGCTATTTTCGATGAGAGTAAAACAAAAAAACTAATCGTATGATTTAGAAAAATAAACGTTGATTTTAATTTTATTACGAAGATAAATTCAAATAAAAAGAAAATATTAGCAAAGATTTTATTTTGATAATTTGTTTTTTGTATAAAATTTTTTAATATGTTCTCTCTGTCACGTTAAACAATCGATTAAATACATTATTCAAATAAATATAATAATATAGATCAAAATTCAAAATATAATTTTCTCTTGATAATTACATGGTCATCCTTAATTAGTTCAAAATAAGTTTTTTAGTCGTAAAATGAATTCAACATTTTCCAATCTTCTCTATTTTGATATGGTTTTTTTTTTCTTTCTTTTTTCAATATCAATCGTCATGTGTAGTGTCAATATGATTTTAAAAGCGTTTGATTTGATGAAAAGAGTCAAATTAGTTTTGCATTAAAGGTTATTAAGTGTTATTTATCATTCATATCGATTAAACTCATTGTTAACTCTTCTCGTTGATATTTTCGGACAATTTCATTTGATATAATAATAAAAGCTAAAGATTTCTTAACCTAAAATAAAGTCTACTGTCTACATATTCAACTTATTTATATGTGTTTTCTTCGATACAAATGAATTGAAATATAGACAAAAATGGGTACCCGATTTCCAGTAAACCACATGTATTATTTTTAAGCATTTAGAGAACGCAAATATAATTCTATTTAGACTACATGAAATGTCTCCGAATTCTGTAATCTGATTAAACGTTCCAAATTGAGTTTTTCATAGAAAAAAAAAAAACGGCTTCAGGGACTTTTGTAAGGCCGTTATATCTCATGAGGAAATCACCTCAAACCGATATTCACCATTTGAGCTTATATAGAACTGTCAAGAAATTCTTGAGAAAGTTTAAAAAAGTATCTTTGAAATCGAGTTATGATTGATTTACTGAATTTTCGATTCAGCTTTGGGTATACACTGAAAAAAAAAAGAATTTCGATGAAAAATTTTGTCCATAGATAGGTCTAGTAACCCTTAGAAGATCCGGAAAGTTTCAGCTAAAAAGAATATTCCTTGGTGATGGAGACATTGAATTTCTTAAAAATAGTCGTTGATCACAGAAATCAAATTTACTTAAAAATTCAATATCTCGACAAAGGAATATCCTAAAGATGTTTAAACCTACAAATAGGTCAAACGATCATAACTCAGCTGTAAAGACTCATGGGTACGGGCCCTTTTAAACTTTTGATAATCTTATCATGACGTCCTTATATGCCCAATATGAGCTCAAATGACAGTTATCATTTCGGACGGTTCATGTAGTCTGAACAATTTACATGTTGTAGATGCTGAAAAATTGTTGAATTCTTTTTAGCAATGAAAACAACATAAAAAAAAAGGAAGAATTGAAAATAAAATCTTTTTTGCATAATTTTGGTAATCATCCAATGAAAAATAACCGTTCTTTTTTTCACACAATAGTTTAAAAAGGAAGAAAGAAAAATAAAAATTTTTTTCGTTTTTTATTTGACAAAATTTTTCTATTACAAAATCAATGGACGGATTAATACGACTATCAATAAAATATATTCATTATTATGAATTATCTTTTTTACGTTGTCGTTCTTTTGCTTTAAGTTCAAATGTAATATTTAATGTTACATGTACAGTAATTGTTTTTGCATCAATTAAATTTTGAAATGATGTTGGTTGTCCTGTAACAACTAATATTCCTTCATTTTCTTGATAATTTTCTTCAACAATATGAACAGCTTTTGCAACATGAAGACCAACTGTTCGAGCTATATCTTCAGCTATATGTTTAGCGTTACGTACTGCTTGTACACTTGCTTGACGTCTAAAAACCAAAAAAAAAACAAAAACAGAACTATACAACAAATAATAATTATAATTAGACTCTATTTACTTAATATTTTCAAGACGAAGTGTTGAATGAAAAAATACTGGCTCAAGAACACGTACAACAGGTGTATCAAGTTTTTCAACTAATTGATTATGACAATTTTGATAACGTTGTATATCAATAAATATAGCTGTTAATTCAGCACGTACTTCATACATTGTATCACGACGTATTGTAGATTGTACAACAGATTTATCTGATTCTTTAACACCAAAATTTCTTAATGTTTGTTCAACATATTTTAATCGACGTGTAACACTTGTTTTTGCTTCATTAACATGTGATTTTGTACTTGTTATAATAACAATTAATTTAATACGATCAGGTGGTAAAGAAAATTCACCCATACCTGATACAGTTATTTGTCGACGAGAATCAATATCAGAAAATATTAATGCACCACGCATTTGTTCATCTGTATAAATACGATTTTTTGGTATAAGACCAAGACATGTTGTAGGTCGTTTTGATGTTATAAAAGATAAATTTTCTTCTCGACGCATTCGTTTTCTTTTTTTTTATTAGATAGAAAATCTTCAAAATAAAAAAAAGATATATTAAAATTTGTATATATATTCAGTTGCTAACGTGAGAAGAATTCTTTCAGATAGAGGCAACAACGACAACCAACAGTATATGAATGCTTGTCTGTATGTTGATAGGAGAAGAAGTTTGACAAGCTGTGTAAAATCAGGAATAGTGGAGTAGTATGTGGTAAAGAACGAAGAAAGAAAAAGAACAAGTTTGCCATGTACTCTTTTTTTTTTTTTCTTTCTTTCTTTTTTTCTTTCTTTCTTTTTTTCTGTTAGTTTATATATGAATAAAAATGGAAGAAATACGACTCCATCAATATATATCGACATATACTGAAGAATAGAACAGTATTAAGCATAGCTGGCTCTACATTATTTATTTCGTTAATGTTGTGCTAGGAAAAAAACAGCCAAATCAGTCCCATAATCGATTATATTTCTTTAATATTCTCTCGAGAATAGACACTCAATCTTCTATCTATTTCAATTTTCTTTATTAGATAGATCGTTTATTTTGTTATACATGTTCCTTACTATCAACTGTTTCTTATAAAATCATTTGTTTACATATCGAAAATTCGTATTTCCCTTCTAAGATCTTCATTAAGACGACCTTCCGTAAGTATTCACAAATGGTGAACTATCTAACAAAAAAAAATTCATTATGAACATTATATTCTCTATGATATATATTTCTAGATGTCTATATGAAAAGTATTATAATTAATCATTAATTAACTTCATCTATATTACTATTAGTATATTCAAACTTAGCACTTCTCTATTGATATGGTAAGATATACAATAATGAAACGTATTATTAAAATTTTTGCATCTATTCTTTTTATTATTACTGTTTTAACTGTTTATCTAACATTTGATTTTGCAATAAATAATGCTTTGTCATATAAATATTCAACTGATAAATATGAACATTTACATAATGATATAAAATTAAAAAAGATATCTACTTTATCATTATTAAAAATAACAAGAACTAATCAAACATTAAAACATAATAATGATAAACAATCTAATCATATTATTAATCCAGAACGTCGTATACGCAGTCTTAAAGATAAACAACAACAAAAACCACATCTTGTTAAACCGGCTAAATTTCATAAAAGTAAAACTGGTATTAAAATTAATCAAATAAAAAAACCTTTTAAAGAACAACGGAAACATTTATTAACGACAAAAATTATTCAACATAAAGATATTAAATCTAAAACTAATAACAATCATTTGTAATTCGATTGTTTTATTTATTTATTTATTTATTTTTTTTTTTTTTGTGAAATAGTAAAATCAAGCATGTAAACATATTATGAAGTTTATTAAGACTTTTTTATATATTTAACTTAATTGAATGACTGTTCTTTTTTTTTATATAATCATGTATAAAAAAAAGTTCACTGTGCTTTTTTATTTTGATCAATTAATATAATTAAATAAATAATTTTATATTAGAAAAGTATTGCTAAAATATCATGAGAAATCAAAATAAGCGTCAATCAATATTAATTTAAGATCATTAGTATAAAGTCTCATTTAGACTAAAATAAGTTCTGAGTATTGCATTTAATTATACTCTACGTCGATGTTATATAGCAAAAGTTTTCCGACACTTTATTGAATACTAGAAATCCTTCAAAAAAAAAAGTCAATTTTCACCAGACAAATCCAAAATGAAACATAAATGCATGAAAAGATAGCTCGAGGTTTGACCTTTTATTTTGGACTCCGTTTTTGCCAAAACTTTCGATGATTTCTGCCACGTTCTACTTGAAGAATGTGTTTTTTTCAGAAAATGCTTTTATTGCAATTTCTGTGAGATTAAAATGTGAAATATGATGAAGTTGATCTTGCTATTCATGAGGAGATTGCTTTGTTCTATCTATTTTCGGATATATTTCTTCATCATCTTTTTACTTAATCCTCGATAAATGCAATAAGGAAGTAGTTCATATATTATGACAAGACATTGCTAAGAATGTCTGTCACATCTGTGGAGAGAGCTCGAATTTCTACCCCTATACTTCATACTCCTTTTAGATTGTGTTTCACAAAAAAAACGACAAATCGTTTTCGTTTTTTCTCTGTTTATAGTTTTTTGATTGCGCATCCCAGAATTCTCAAAAAGACTTCATTGTTGTCAATGGTTTTTTGAAAATCCATGTAAAGCTACAGCCCATGTTTTCTTATATCAAAGTTTTTTATTATTATACAAAAGAACACTTCTATAAATAGATGACCCTTTTTTCGAGGTATTGAACTTGACATCCTTTTTCTTCGCATAAAAAGTGAGAATTTAAAAACAAAGAATTCTGTTAGGTACGGGCATATGACATGCTCTTTCAAGTAAAAAGACACAATTAAATCTATAGAATGAAGATCTACAGAGAATTTAGGATTGTCAAAGGAGTTATTTTCGACCCTTGTTCACTGAATATCTCATGCAAACGTCATGATATAGGACTGAAAATTTCATGCAGTTTGAATGCATCTGATCCAAGATCGATAAACAAAATACATAGGATAGTGTTCAGTTTCTGCTCAAATCAATGAGAAAATTTGCTTCACAATATGAAACAGCTCGAGTTGATTCAAGTAAGATAGAAATTTTCACTAATTTATAAAACTTTGTATTTTACATCTACTGCAAAAACTTCAGTCTAACAGAACGACTCATTAAAGAGTTATGATAAGATAAGAGAAAACATTTTCATGTCGGTTTATTACTGAAAGAATTCTCTTTGTTTTCATATGATCTGCAGACCGTCAGCTCTATCATAATGAAAACTAGACTCGAGTTTGTGTCACTTTACATCAAACTATACAAGTGTCTGGCAAACAATCTAAATGTTAAATGAAGAACTGAAGACGGAATCAAATTTCAATCAATTATATATTTTGATAAAGCATCGAACACTGCAGTCAATGGACTATTCACATTCTTTTTTCTTTATTATAGCCGAAAAACATCCTTTCTCTTTGTACATATCAGCAAAAAATGACGTTTTTTTTTTGTAATATGTTTCTCATAACTCAGCGATGATATAAACTAAACAGCTGAAATATAGTGTGGCAGTTGGTCATTCAAAAAGGAATAATGCGTAAAAAATTATTCAAATCGGTTGATCAGAATAAAATTTATTGAGTGCAATGTAGCGAAAATTTCAATCGAATCAAAAAGTTACAATGCATTCATATGTTAATCAAGATACAATCTAAAGTTTCAAAAGAAAAGATTTTGTAAAAAAGAAACATCAGGATGATATTGAGATTATCTTTTAATAACAATCTAATATATTCGAACTATACTGTCGAAGAAAGTTAACTTTGATCTTTCGTTTACAAATCATCGATAGGAAAATTTCCTTTGAAATAAAGAGTCTATTGATTAATTCAACAACGCACATCACGTGACAATAATCTATTATAACATCGGGTTAATTAAGTCAAAATAGCATCTTTTAAGCTCGAATTTTTTGTATATTTCAGTTTGAAGTGATTCCCATAAATTAAAAAATAGGTCACTTTCAATTGCATAACGAGAACGATCACACTTCAACGTACTCAAAAACATTTTCATTTTTGTTTCTTTGTCTATGAAGTTATTGAAAATATTCTGAAGTCTATAAAAACAAAATTAACTCGTTTCTACATGTTTAGTATTCATTATTTGATTTCTTTCTTTAACTTTCTATAGAATAAGTCTAATTAAGTTTTTATCAAGAATTTGATGGTGCATCTTCTGAAACAACGATGAGATCTAACGAAGAAAATTCCTCTATTGATTAATTGCTTTTGAATCGGAACAATGTGTATCATGCAGATTCTAATAAATGATGAACACTCTCAGAGTTCAGGCTGTTAGCTGATTTCTACCGAGATACGACATTTTTTTACAGTAGCATTTTAATCAAAATCAATAAGAACATCAATTCTACCAATTTATATATAAGCGACTTACAAAGATACGTTTTTATTTCATATCATTTAAAGAATACTGTAAAAGTATAGTATCTCTGCAACAATAAACTAAGAATCCGAACTCTTTTCAGAATATTCAAAGCTCATTCGAATCTAAATAATGTACACTGTCTCGATTCAAAAGCGATTTATCGATTGAAGAACTAAGATCAGATTTGTTATTTCAATTGTTTTTGTCGTACCTTAATTTTCTAGCCTTCCAACGATTTACTCATAATTCCTCATCTATGCGTCTTACAAAACTTTCGAACATATATTCGAAAAGATCACAAAATTCTGATTCTAATTCAATGTTCTGTTAACTTTCGTAATCCGTCGAACATTTGTTATTATCACAATTGAATTGTATATAAATGAAAGAATAACTTTTTTGTTTTAATCGTCACTATTTATATAACAAAAAAATATATATATAGTCAAAACAATACGACCAAATACAAAAACAAAAAAACAAAGAAATGAGCGAGAATCAAAACAAAAAAGAGCTCAAATTTTTTTTTTTGACAATATAACTTTTTCAGATTACAACAAATACCTCTAATCGAACATTTAATAATATTCTATTTTTCCTTAAAAAAACCAAAGATTTTCTTCTCGTATTGTTTGTTTGTATTTTCTCCTTCACAATAATTTTTTTTAATAAAAATATTAATCAATTGTTGATAATGGTTTATTTTTTTGATTATCATTTTGTACTTTCCATGAACTTATTGGTAAATCTTGTAAACGCATCATTGTTCCATATTTCCATATAATCCAAATAATACCAGCTATTGTAGATATTGTTACTGAAATATAATATGGATCAATATATGGTCGACATATACCACCTAATAAAGCACAATTTTTCTCCTCAGCTGGAGTTCGACATCTATCATCACTTAATGTACATTTTTTCCATGTTAAAAAATCAGCCGAATATAAAACAGCTGTTGAAATCCAACTTGAACCTAAAAATTCAAAAGAATTTTTCGATTTTTAATTAATCAAAAAAAAAAAAGTATTTTTTACCAAGATTTGTTAATGTATTAAGTAATGTCATATATGTTCCACCTATTTTAGGATCACTAACTTGTGCAAAAAAAGCCATTTGTGAAACAAACATACTGTATACAAATATTTGTTGTATACTAATTATAAGAATAGCTAATGCATAATAATACCAAGGAAATGTTTTATTATAATTTTGAAATGATGGTGTAAAATAAACAAATAAAGCAATTATAATACCAAGAAGTAATCTATTTAGAACAAAGAAAAAGAAAATTGATTAATTTAAGATAGAATAGACAGGGCTGTATAAAATCAGGATTGTCGATATTTTCTAGAAGTGGAGGCTGAATAATCGGTAAAAACTGCTTTCATTTTCGAAGTACTAGAAACAGTGGTCGGGCAAGAACGAAACCCGCAACAGACAATCTACTCAAAACTTAAGAAAATCTCCGTCACTTACGAAATTCTGTGCACACTACCTTTGTGCTTCATTGGTAAATTTCACTTCAAAAAAAATTACGAATTGAATCTGATATTTGGAATCAGCATTGAAAATTGAGTTGGACTATCTATATTGCAAATCTTTTCACGAACCTTGTTTTCCTTCATCGAAAAATTCAGCTCTGGTCCTGTTAAAAATGAATTTCATGAGAAAATTATTTCAACAATGGAAAACAAGTTCTAATCTGCTAAAACGATAATAAAAGATAAAATAATCGATGACTAAACAATGTTTTCTTGAAATTCATTTTTTAGAGTCAATCGTGAGGAGAACCACGGGTAAAGGAAGTGGCGCTTATATCCTCCCGCAGGTTATTTTTTGATTGTGAGTAGTATGAAGATGTAAAATCGTCCAACCAGACCTTAGACATTTTTAGTCTTAGCAAAAAAAATCAGTATTTTAGAGAACAATCATTTATATAGGAAAGTACTAGAAAATAGGAAGTATTTAGAGATTTCTGTAGTCGAAAGTTGGTTTTTATGTAAAATGAATATGATATTCAGAATCAGCATGAAAAATTACACTAGACAGTCTATTTTTCATTGTAAAATATTTTCTATGAGAATTTGACCTGTAGGGGACCAGGGGGAAAAATCTTATGGATAAAAGGTTGAGAGGGAGTAGGGGTCAGATTTCCATAGAAAATATTTTACAATGAAAAATAGATTGTCTAGTGTAATTCTTCATGGTGATTCTGAATATCATATTCATTTTACATAAAAACCAACTTTTGACTACAAAAACCTCTAAATATTCTCTA